GGGCTGGTGATAGGGTCTTGGTATTGACCATATATTATCCAAAAAATATATTGCTAAAGGTTAGGATAATCTTTAAAATTGCTGTCCTGACAATGTATGGAGATTATTTTTCTTTGCAATGGCTGATTAAGATTTTCTCACTCAGCAATGAGATTTTCTTAAGATTACAGAAACAAGATTAATATTAAGCAGGGTAGGGGAAAGGAAAGAAGGGAAAGGAAAAAATATGAGATAAGAAATACATGGAAACAACGCCTTTGCAAATAGGGAGGGGTTGAGGGGTTGAAGGGAGGGCAGGGGAATGGGGAAAAAATAAGAACCAAGATACATCATGTACAAGTTCCCAATGATGAATGTAAATGTATTGTATACCTAAAATGCACTAATAAAAGAATTTAAGAAAAAAAGATTAATATCAAGCAGAGTAATTCCATCTTGAAAATATTTCCTTAAATATTATTTAAAAATAGCTGATACTATACCTTTTAAAGTTGGTATTTACAAAGAGAATAGTAGTTATTCTTAAATAAATGATCCTGTACTTTTTTTTTTTGGTACTAGGGATCAAACTTGGCTCCTTGTGCTTGTGCAGCAGGCGGCAAAACCACTGAGCTAAATCCCCAGCCCAATGCTGTACTTTTTAAGCATTTCAGGCAACAATTGTGAAGTCCTTAATACAAGTACTCTGTATCTCCATTTACTCATTCATGTATCTCCATTTAGAAAATAATCATTAACATTATATGAAATGATTTTTTAAAAATATTCTTTAGATATCATTGTAATTATTACACATAAATATATATTAAGTGCATAAGATAATTTTCATTATATATCCTATTTATGGCAACTACACTTGTTTTGGGATTCTTAGTGGAACTCAAAATACCTCGCTGAATCTCTGTTTCTGGCTCTCCTTGAATGCATTATTCTTTATTGTAATACCCTATTTGATTTTCTTCAGTGTAGTCGTCACTGTCTGAAGTTTTAGTTATCATGTATTTATTTATTTACTTGCTTATCCTCTGTCTCTCGCACTAAATTACAAAGTTACTTATCATGTGTTCCCAACACCCAGGCCAGTGCCTGGTAGGTTTCATGTAAAGAACTGATGACTGACTGGCTAACTCAATCATTGAATGAATTCACACCTAGCCCAAGTAGTGACAAACACAAGGAGATATCTTATTTTGTATTTGCTTTTTCCAGTTATGAAACTACCCTGAATGATGGCTAATGTTCAGAGGAAGTATTGCTATCTGAGCACAATTTTTAGAAAAACAAAAATAGCACCCATAAAACATGAGCTCAGGGGAGCCTGTGGTGTTGTCATGTTTCAGGACAATGCATATAATAGATCCTTCTTAATAGAGCTACAATTAATGAGAGCTGTTATTATTAATCTATGATAAATGTTTTATCTTCAAGCTTTGTTTTTCAATTTTTAAAAATAATCGGCCTCACTCATATGCATTTTGTAAAAAGAAAAGAAATTTTAAAACTTAATCATGTTTATTTTGAAGGATAAGAAAAGAGTACACACTTTGAATGTAATAAATATTCTATTTTAAAAGAACTATTAAATCAAGTTTATGAAACATGTTTCCTTTCTTCAGAGTTAGATGCCATACGACAGATATGAAGGGAATGCATCATTTTTTTAACATCTCTAGTGTCTGAGAAAGTGTGTGGCTGCTGTTTTCTACTCATGGGTTTTAGTTGATGCTCCCATAAGAGAGAGATATCTGTGTGTTTTATACATACAAAGGCCAGGCGAAGGCATAGTTCAACTATAATGGGTCAACCACTAACTGTACTGTTGGCCAATTATTCTTGGGGATTAGAGTACTCATTTTGAAGACAGCAACCGCTTAATGACTGATGAGTAAGTTATATTTGATGTTTTTGGGTAAATGTGCCTAAAAGCTTAAATATTATGTATGTATGTGTGTGTGTGTATATATATATATACAAATAACATGCATATATATGACATAAACATATAACGTATATATATATGTAAAACATATCACTCACATACATGAATTGAACATAGAGCCTTACACTTGTTCAGGGACCTCTCTATCACTGAGTGATATGCTCAGCCCCATATTAACATATTTTAATTTTACTGAATAATATTCAAAGAAATATGGTATAAAAATACTATTTTTTCACTACATACTGTATTTTGTTAACACTTGACATATTTGATTATGCTATGGGTTTGAAATGTACACAGGCGACCATCTCTTTTCTTCTTTTTAGTAATCATAAAAAGCAGACACCAATTACTTAATGACTGATGAGTAAGTTATATTTGATGTTTTTGAGTAAATGTGCCTAGAAGCTTAAATATTAAATATGTATGTGTATATATACATTTTGACATGAATTACATAGAAAACAATTGGTCATCATTGACCAAGAGATCCTGAAAGATGTGACTATTTTGGTAAAAAGGTGCTATGAATTTCTCATCACCGTGCAATAGCCTATTGCTGATATCATTGACTAGGTTAATGAAGTATAAATATTAAAGAATTAAAGTCTGCACTCCCAGAGCAGCCTGGTTCTGACAGACTAATACTGAGAAAAAACCAGGACACTGACATTAAGTGAACATTGACTTTGAGAGCTTGTTTCTTTGAAAGTGTACGACTGACTGTGCTCACACATGTCTCTGGTCAGGTCACATAGCCATCCTGATGGCTCACCTCTGCAAAGATGGCCACCAAGGTCAACATGGAAGATACTAACATTAGGTTCATTATCCTGAGGCATCTGAGAGAGATGGGGAAGGAAGGGAATATTTCTGAGAGATGTGTATGGGGAAGGGCTGGGTAGGTGGCCAATTATGAAATGATGTTGCTGGCTTTAAATGGTATATAATACTGAAGCTATAAAGGCAGAGTATATTTCTGAAGCCATATTAGTTTTTCAAGTATATCTTCCCTACTGAGGATGTTTGAGGAGATCTGGAATGTTTTCTGTAAACAGTACTAATGAACTCTAAAATGATTCATTTCTACCTTCTCTCTCTGTTCTTTCCTTTCTTCCTAAGTTGCCCGGCTTGGTCTTGAACTTTGGACTCTTCCATCGTAGGCCCTGGAGTAGCTGGAATTACAGGAATATGCCACCACACTGGGCTTTCACGTTTCATAGGATATAAGACCTTTACAGGTCACACAGGTATATCCCTGCTCCCAACTTGACATCCCTCATTGTCAGTATCAAATACTATCAGACTCCATTATGCACTCCTCAATGAAATGCTAAGCTCTTCAAGGACAAACACTCTATCCTATATCTAGTTGATATAGTTGCCTTCCCACATTCTCCCCACTTCCAGCCTAACACCCCACACAGTGGACACTGAATAAACTCTTGCTGAACTGAACTGAATTCTGGAATGTTGGTTAGTCTATGCATAATAGTGACTCTACATGCCCTTTCTAATCTTACTGCTTTTCTCTTTTAGAAATCCTAATGTGCAAAATGTCTGTGTAGCGAGACATTGTCAGCATCTAGATGCAATACTCTTTGGTGTAGTTCCTAATCCTCTTAGTAAGTCTTTCTGGTAGGCTTTGACTAGAGCTCTTAAACAATATCATAACCTTGAAATAATTGAGTTCCAAAGTAAATGCTCTGACATGTTTCAAAATACAACTTTGGATCAAAACAAATATACCTTTTTGGTCACAGCAGTAAATTATGTGAAATATTTATATTTTATCCCCAAACTCATCAGACACATTAAACATAACACACACAGAAAGGCTCAGTGTAAACATTCTTAATCATTTCTTTTTTTGTTTTGAACAAAATGACCATTTTCTATTTGCATAAAATGTAAAAGAAATTAACTTTTATTAATAACTGGATACATAAAAATGGACCAAATAACAAAAATAACATTGGGCTGTACTTTAAGGGTTGCATGGCACACAGATAAATCCTCAAACAAAATACCTTAAAGCAATTGTTATATAACAGTTGATAACTCTGAAAATATTTCACTTTTTGCAGAATTCAAAAGCTTCATTCTCTATTCACTGCTATTATATTTCACTGCCAATTTGAAGAAAATAAATGATTCTAATCTTGGATTTCACAATCAGCTTTTAGAGTCAGCACATAGTTGGTCTTTAAAATGGTTCTAATGCAGATTATTGTGTAATTGTGGTAAATGCCAAAATAATGTAATTAATCTTAACTACTTCACTAAATTAAAGTGTCTCAGAGAAAACACAAAACAAGGCAACATGTATGAGCACATATAAAATTTTATAACTAAATGTTTTCAAAAATTTGAAATAGCAAATATCAAACCTGTGGAAAAAAAACCACCACAGCTTTGGACATAACTAGGAAAATGTGAAGAATGCATTGCATCATACTTGAGGAGGGGCTTATTGTCTTTACCAATAGGTCACTGAAATTTAAAACATGTTTTCCACTTCAAAGGTATAAAGCTTAGTTTTGAAGCCAATCATTACAGCTGTTTCCACTGTAGGCTCCTTGGTCTCAGGGACCATGACTTTATTGCTGACATCACTCAGCAACTGTGCTGACTATCTGAGGAGCAGTGAACACTTACGACTGGTAGTGTCAGGTAGCTTAAATAGAATACCCGAAGTAATCACACGTGACAGCGATGGAGGCAAGTGTGGTCTGTCACTAGGTCAATCCTTCCACAGAATGGAGCTATTTTCTTAAATTGAAGGAGTTAGAGAAAGACTAGATGAACATAGGAAAATAATGCATGTGCTTCTATCAGCTAACTGTTGCTTATTTTTATTTCGTTTATATAAATATATCGATTCACATGTGTATAAAGCAGCAATTCTATCTTTAGTAGACTTTATTGGAACACAGACTTATTTTCCCCAAATCTGACGTGCTTTCTCCTATCTCTGGTCAAAAACACGTATACTAGCCTAAGAATTATACCGTCATTTTTTTTGAAGATTTTTTTAATTGAGTGGGCAAATACCAACCTTCAGGTTAGACAAGCAGTTGTTGAGGAACACATGCCATCTGTTCAGGAACAGCTGCTTCTGACTGACACAAAGCAGACAGGTCACCAGGGGGTACAAAGCCTGCAAGAAAGGAGACAAGGTCGTAGTGTGTGTGTGTATTTTCTTTCTTTTTGCACTGTTGGTGATGGAACCCAGGGCCTTGCTGAAGTTGGACAAGTTCTTTACCATTGATTCACATGTCAGCCCTAGAGGATGACTGCTATTTTAAGGTACCAGGTAATACATTCTCAGCACTCATTATTGCACTGTCTCCCTCTGCAACTCTATAGGCTGAATGAAGCAGCATATTGTATAACACAACAAGGTCCAATGGGTGAATGAGCAGGGGTGAACATTTTGCAAACGTTTTCTGATAATGCTGGGAATAGAATAACCTAGAACTATGGATAGTGTGTAGTCATGTTCCATGTTCAATAATATAGAAATCTGATTCACTTTGTCTTCACTAATGAACATTCCAAACAAGTTCACCATTTTAGATAACTCTCAATCTTCAGAAAAAAAGGAGGAAAGCACACATTTAAAAAAATGTTACTGACTTTTTCACTTAACACCTACTATCTTAGAGGTAGATATATATTTTTTCATTTCCATGTAACCTTCCTGTAATTAAGGAAGATTCCTAAAAGAAATGTTATTGCATTGGTAAACTCTACTAAGACAAATTTAACTGTGGGAGGAATTTGCTTACATCCAAATAAACAGAGGTGTTACTGTGCTTTTCCTGCCTAACTGGGCCAGTTTCCCACAGCAACTGGAGAAGACAGAAAAAGTTAATGGGCAGCCACCCAAAAAAACCTATGTTCAGAGCACCATTTTGCTAAACCAGACAGTTTAACTGTCTATGGTTCCCCAAGAAACCAGGCCGGTGGAAGATTTAAATAGAAATGGAACTGGCTCATCTGTTAACTTGGACTAGCAAGAAACAGTTGTCATAGATGAGATACAGTGCTCAAGAATTCATTAACTTAGTATTTTTCTTCCTAAAACTAACTTAGTTTTAAAGACTTTAAACTGCTGTTCCCAATGAATTCACAACTCTGATACCAGACAATAATCTAAAAATAGGGTATGGAGTCAGTCACCATGCCCATGAAATGTAGACAAATGAGCAACTTTGTCACCACTACCAGCAAAGCAACACTGAATACCTACTCACATTACTATGTCGAAATTCATACTTTTGAAACCCCCAACTATCACAACTACACAGAACACATCATTTGCTAATTTATAAACCAGACTATTATTTACCATAGGGGTAGAAGGCAACTTAAAAGACTCAATGCTGCTTTTCAGTATCAAAGCCTTCCCAAGAATTATTTTCCCAGCCTTCAGAGACTCTTGTCTGTGGGCAACTATTTCCTGTCTCCCTTTCTTGCCTAGTTCCATTTTGATTCTGATTATCAGGATAGGAATTAGCCACTGAAAGCTCTTGGGGATTGAGAAGAGAAACTGTTATTGTAAACTTTAGCCTTCAGATTGGAAAAAAATTCTCAGAAATTCAAACAAAAATCAAGTTAAGCCCATCATAAAAATAAACAGCAGAATCGGTAGGACCAGAAGGGTCAGCTAAGGTGACAAGGCCTAATCCTCTTATGTTACTGTGATTCATAGTCAATACTAAATAAAAATTTGAAAGGAGTCTTTTGGAGAAGGCTGTATGTAATTCTCCCTTCTGTAGCATCCTCTCAAGTAGATGTATGGCTAGGAATTTTAGTCTCTGCAGTTTTTTATACTTTTGAATTTTCTCATAGTTACTAACCAAGGAATGCTTCTTTCGAGAAGAAAGTTCCAGCGTGGTATCATATAGGCTTTCCACAAAGTTTCGGAGGCAGGGAACATTTACTTCATTTTTAACAGTCTGAAACAGAAATGCATGTGAATATTCTATTAATGAAACCAGGCCCGGGGATTTAGCTCAGTGGTGTTGCCACCTGCCTTGCAAGTGCAAGGTCCCGAGTTCGATCCCCAGTACCAAAAAACCCTGAAAAAAAACCCAACAACACAAAAACTATTAATGAAACTGTTGAGTCTATCATCCAATTTCAAGAAGTTCTTAGAAACGAAAATGTAACTCACAGCAGCAACTGGAACCAGGATTTCCACAAAAAGTCCAGCCAAGGCATGTTTGATATCTTTGTCTTTGACCTCAAGGAAATAATGTGCACATTCCTGGGAAGCAGACAGAGTATAGGGAAAGAAAGTAGATTATAATGTGAATGTTAAATGTACTTAAACAAGTAGTTTTCTACTTAATCACAAATACCAACATAGTATGTCCCCCAATTAATTTAAAAATCACTGCTTTCAAACATTCATATTGAACCCTAAATGCTTGCAAGGGCCTCAGTGGCATTTTATAAGGCTAGTTTTATCTTTCTCTTTCCACTTCTACCACTAAGCACACATTTGTCTACTCAATGACTGGCCAGCTCAGTCTATATACGTATAAATATATACCTATATATTTCTATTGATAACTTACCCTGTGTGGGGCTCTCGGTCTTGGATTAGCCCACAAACAAAAATCCCCAGGGAAGGTAAATATAGGAAGAAAGGCAAAAAAGAGTACACTTATTTTAGGCCCTGTGCCTGAAAGCCTCAAGACCAGAACTGTTTACTTGCTCCCCTGACATTTTAGGTGTGTTTATTATTCTGATCATTTCATAAGCAAGTCTGGAATACTTCCCTCTTTCACTTCAAACAAGGAAATCTTTGGAGTAGCTCCTCAGCAAGGATGTCTTTGCTTGTGAAGGTGCTGTTGATATAAGCAGCTATAGTCGATGAAAAAATATTTTTGGTAGCCTTGGACTGGTTCTGCAGGAAAGTCCCCTGCCCGGAATTTTGCCAACACCTCTCTCCTTTCAAGCTTTATGCTAGCAACTTATAGTGGTTACTTTGAGATATTTTTACTCAAGAGTCCTAAGCTACATATATTTGATGACTTGCTAATATCTATATTAGCTCTTAAACCTTTACTGCAGTCACTATTGGGAATATCGCCAAAAACAGTTGCAAAGATTCTTAGTCCAGCAATATTATATTAAGATTTCTGCCTAGGTTGGGTAACACCAACCTAGGAAGTCACTTACACTCTTTCCTGTACAGAAGGGAGATATACAGTTACCAGGATCCTGGCCCTTTTTCGATATTATTTTGTATTTGTATGTAAATACTTTCTCAAGTTGTCATTCAATCACATAGCACATTAATTATCAATTCCAGAGTGTGATAAAAATAATAGAACAGTCACTAGTCACTGCGTACTTATATCAGAATCACTCTCTGAGGGCAATGTCTTTGCCACTCCCTTGCAGATAAAATAAATGAGGCTGGGAAGGAGGATGGAGGGGTTAAATGTGACGGGCCAAGGGGACAAGGCTTGTAAGCATTAGGACCTGAAGTCAAACGAAAGAAGTCTGATATACAATAACCGCGGCTCCCTCTCTCCCTTCTCTGTATCAGCTTTATTAAGATATGATTTGTCTATCTAATTCACCCATTTAAAGTATTCAGTTAAGTGGATTTTAGTATATTCAGAGTCATGCATTCGTGATCACAATCAAATTTAGAATTTTTTAATGATCCCAAAAGAAATTCTGCACTCTGTCAGTTATCCCCAACCTCTGTATTCACCTCTCATCCTCAGCTATAGGCAACTATTAAACTTTCTGTCTTTACTGATTTGCTTGTCTTGGACATTTCATGTAAATGGATTCACATTCGGTGTGGCCCTTTGTATCTGGCTTTTATACTTACCATAATGTTTTCAAGGTTGTCTATATTGTATTTCATTCCCTTTTAGAGCCAAAGAGTCCACTGTATGGATATACTGTATTTTGTACCTCCATTCATCAGTTTAGCTATATCTGAGCTGTTTCCACTTTTTGGCTACTGTGAATAATGCTGCTATGAACATCTGTGTTAAAGATTTTGTATGGAAATATATATTCATTTCTCTTGGATATATACCTTGGAGTGAAATTTCTAGATTATCTAGTAATTCCAGGTTTAGTCATCTGAGGAACTGTCAAGATATTTTCCAAAGTGAATGTACTGTTTTATCTGATCTTTACACTAGCAGTGCATGTGTGCTCCAATTCATTTACATCCTCATCTATACTTATCCGTCTTTTTGGTTGTAGCCTTTTTAGTTGTAAAAGGGTCCAGCCTACATTTACCTAAACTCCCTGTATCTAAACTCTCTAGGAAGATCATCTCCAAAACTACTTTACAGCAGCATTAGAAAAATCCTTCAGATGCCAAAGTTCTATAAACTCTTAACAGAGCTATGCGTTCTGTGAAGTCTTCATTGGCAACAATTTTTTTTGTTATATATCATGAAGAATTCTAGTCAATACACATTAAGCCTGTAAGGGTTGGTTGATTTTTTTTAAATTAGGATTCCTTTCAGTAGTATGAACAAAACAGATTTCTATCTTCAGTAAAGTTCTCCTGCCTGTGAATGCTGATATAGTAAACCCAATGTTCTCAATTCTAAAAAGTGAAAAAGTGTGGCATAGTCTATTCACAGAGCAATATGTATCAATGATTGAGACAGGCGGTGGAACCACTGAGCTAAATCTCCAGCCCTGTATCAATGACTGAAAGAAGTCAACAAATGAGAAATTCTATTTACACCTGACTTCAAAGATGGTATGGAAATTTAAAACTGAAATTATATTTCTGCTACTTGGTTACAAGACCCTTCATGAATTATTGAGAAGGCAGGACTTTTTTTACGATATGGTCAAGTACAGATGCTTCTCAACTCATGATGGTGTTATATGCCAATAAGCCCATCATTATTTGAAATTATTGTAAAAAGAAACTGCATTTAAAACCCTTAACCTAGTGAACATCCTAGCTTAGCAGCACAGCATGGTCATGAGCATCCATTGTTTCTGCTTGTCATTGTGGAGCCAACTGAGAGTTGTGGTTGCTCCTGTTACCCAGAATCATAAAAGAGGATCAGACCGTATATTTGTATCTTAAGAAAACAACCAAATTCAAAATGGGAAATAAAGTTTCTATTAAATGTATATAGCTTTTGCACCACTGTAAAGTTGAAAAACTGTAAGTTGAACCGCTGAAAGTTAGGTACTGCCTGTAAGGGATTCTCACGTTACAAGTGCGTCATTTTGATAAAGAAGATCACTCAAATGGATGGCCTCTTGGCTCTTCTGCCCAGAACTTACCTGCATGAACTGAAGAGAGGCCTCAAAGTCCTCCACTGGATACATCTTAATTCGAAAGAATTTCATCCCCATTATCAAGCTGATAATGCTTTGTACCACATATGGGCTCTGCTCTTTGTGCCGTAATTCTTTTAGCTCTGCCATAAATTTTTTCTTGACAGCAGGGAATCTACGAAGAAAACATAAGTGATTTACCAAGTAAGCAGTAGGAAGGTCACTGTAAATAGGGCCTCTAAGGGCCAGGGATTTAGCTCAGCGGTTCCACCTCCTGCCTTGCAACCACAAAGTCCCAAGTTTGAGCTCCAGTACCAAAAAAAAAAAAAGATAATGTTTGGGCCACGGATTTAGCTCAGTGGTTCCACCGCCTGCCTTGCAAACACAAGGTCCTGAGTTTGATCCCTGCTACCAAAAAAAAAGAAAAGAAAACTGCCCCTAAACAGGGCCTCTAGCATCCAAGAGTGATGGAGCCTGGAGATGGAGTCCTTCCAATCAGTACAAGTACAGTAACTGTCATATCATATGTGTTTGATGTTTGAGATTTGACAGAGTTCAGACCCCGCCCTTATACAGTAAGATGCTCCACATTTCCTTCAGACTACAGTGCAGATCTAGCAGTATTGAGACCCTCTCAAGATGGTTTAGCTCTCGAATTAAGCAGATAAAAGTTCCATTTCCTCAGGATTAGCAGTTTCCAACATACTTTTAGACCTTGCAGTTCTACAGTATCAAATTGTATTTGAACAATAACATTAAAGGGTCAGTTATTTCTGACAATTGCAGTAAATATTTTTGAACTCAGATTCCAAACAATGACAAAAGTATTCCAAAATTCATTTCCAAAGTTTTCTGTTGTTGTTCTCTTATAGTTTCATAATAATAAATATGGAAAATATTTTTAAGTTGAAGGAAAAATCTAGCAATGGAAAAATTCAAATCATACCTAAAAGATAAAGATAAATGGACTGTCTGCTATATGCAGGGAATTTTACAATTTGATCTGGTGAATGAAAACAAACACAGGGATATCATCCTATTCTCCAGGAACATAAAGTATTTGTATTATATGAAAGAAAATAATAATCATAACAACAGTAATGATGTCACATGTTTTCTTTTTAAAAGATAGATTTTAAGGCTAAGAGAACAAAAGCAGCAGATCTTTGAAATACCTAAAGGCAAAGCAATGCACACATTAAAGTTATCCAAACTACTTTTCAGATATGGCTGGTTTGATCATTAATTTTCAAAAAAAAAACAAGAGAAAACATTCTAAAAGCCATTGTTTTTGTTTCCTAAAACTATTAGGCTTCCATAAGTGAAAGGGTCAATTAGGAGCAATCTATGATTAGAAAGGGTAATTGTGCCTATAAAAGTTGAAGGAGAACTAACAGAATCTCTGAAGTTTGACAAAATTTGCTCCATAAAGCAGAGATTGTAGAACACGTAATGAAGGCAGCAAATACATGACAATGTTTCACCAAGGCAGTTCAAAGGGGTTGGTTTTGGGGTTAGATGGAAGTTATGTTGTATTCATTGTATAACAGTTTGTTAAGTTTGTTTTATAGATTTTCTTTTATATTTGCTACATCTATTTCACAATAAAAAAGATTTTGAGGTAAGAGAATAAAAAATATAAATTGCTTCAAGAAGACTTAAATACCTTATGAATGTGGCATTTTCTAATGGTTTGTTAACATGCTTAAGGATATGTCAGGGTTTATTCCTAGTCTGTGGTGGCATTTGGTGAGTTTCTACAAACATTCTGAACTGGTCCATTCTGACATGTCTTAAATACTATTAAAGTGAGATAGAAGATATTAGCTATATTTGCAATTGAAATATCATGAAGATCTACTGCAAAATTATGTATTAATTCTTCAGATAAGAAATTAACAAAAGTCAAAATACAAATTTTGTTAACTTTACAAAAATCTACTTGTATCAGATAACATGTATTTGAATGAAAATTCAAAACTATATTCTTGAAAATTTTGTAATATAAATTCCAAACTCCAATGTTATCATTCTTTCCTGTGTATTATAGAAAAAACAAAGGAAAACAAATCCTAAAACAACTGATGGAGATGATGACAACAACAACAACAGCAATGAGACACACAGCACTAACTCGATGCCAACCATGATTCAGTTACATATAGTAACTCATTTAATCATCACAACAATGTTTTGTGTAGGGTATTACTATATCTTTTTATACAGAAGAATAAATGAGGTAGAGATTTCATAACCTCATAAAGTTGCATAGGGAATTTAAACCCCACGTCCAGCTCTAGACTCTCTGCTCTTAACTCTAAATGCTCTGCATTATGTTGACACCAATGATTCTTAAAGTGTGTTCCCCAGTTGGCAGCATCTGAGAACTTGTTAGAAATGTAACATTCAGAGCTGGGGATTTAGCTCAGTGGTTTCGCCGCCTGCTGCTCAAGCTCAAAGAACGGAGTTCGATCCCTGGTACCAAAAAAAAAAAAAAGAAGAAGAAGAAAAAAAAATCCTTCCTAGAAATGTACATTCTCTGGCTCATTCCTGGACTTACTATTGTGGATGAGTCATTTTCCCAAAAAGTCACAGGTTGAAGTCTTAATTCCTAGTACCTTAAAATAGGACTATATTTGGAGACAGGGTTTTGAAAGAGGTGATAAGGTTAAATGAGGTCTGAAGGGTGGGCCCTAATCCAGTATGCCTAGAGGGCTTAAAAGAGAAACATAGCTTTACATGGGGATAAGATCACAAGAGGACACAGGGAGAAGGTAGATACCTATAAGCTAAGAAGGGAGGCCTTTAGGAGAAACCAACCCTGTCAGTACCTTGCCCTTGGACTTCTCTCATCCAGAACGGTGAGGAAATAAATGTCTAGTGTCTAAGCCACAGTTGGCGATACTTTAGCATTGCCAGGACACAAACAACTATCAGAAAGAGCCTAGCCAAATATGAGTGTATAGCTTCAAAGTCAGATGACTCAGAGGACAATAGATACTTTTTTCACATACCTAAATAGTCATTACATGAAAGAATATAGAAGGGAAAACTTTCTGACAAAAAGAGACATCTGAATGGAATGAACTCTAATATATTTTATAGTTTACTTATTTATTGTATTTATTGCTTATTGTCAGACACTTTTGGCTAGATTTAAGCTCTGTAAGATCAGGCATACAGTAGGTTCTCAGGAAATATGCTGAGTGGGTTAATTTCCTTTGGGGTTAATGAGTTTCCTGTTACGGGGATATGTAAGCACAAGTGTCACACATGCACTAAGAGGATGTCCTAGAGAAGGCTTTCCCAGAGAGTGCATGGTTAGGCTACTTCAAGGTCCTTTTCCAAAGCTGAAATTCTATTAATCTAATTTTACTTCTACTGATGAATGGAATATAAGTATTCTTCCTAGAACAGGTCCACATTTAAACATTCTTTTATTTCTAATCCATTAGTACAACAATGAGAGACGGGAAAAGGCAGGCTATTGGTATAACTCAGTATATCAATATTTTCATGAGACAGAGGCTGAAAGTTTATTTTTCATTTAAAAATAAGTATGGCTTTTAAAAGTCCCAAATTTCAGCCTAAAAATCCAAACATCTACTTCCATTTAAAATTTATTTTCCCTTATAATGATTTTAGGGTAAAACAGTTTTCAATAACCTTTCTTTAGTATTTACTATTTCATAGGATATTTAAAAATATAGTAACTGAATAATTGGTTTTTGGCATAGTATAAAATTCATATAAAAATGAATTTCTACTTAAGATATGCAGTAGTAAATATGTATAGAGTACAGAAATATGGAGAGTGAAATTATAGAAAGTTATATAGGGAAAGTAACTTTAAAATCTTTGAATCTTAGAAGCAATCATTATTTAAATAAATATACCAAATTTTAACCAAAGCCTTTAAAATATCTACTTTCAATTAACTTTGAAAAAGTCAGTATTATGTGTGAAAACCTCTCAATGACATTAAAAGATTCCTTAATGAGTGGAATCAATTATCATTATTACAAGTAAATATTTAAAATAGTGATTCTGTTAAAACTCAGACCAAAGTAAGCCTCAAAAACTAAAGTTATAATGAGGAAAATATTTCATACTTCCTATGCATAATCACTGGGAAATGAATAAACAATCTACAATTTAAATTATTATATTATTTAACTTTATAAAAAGAAAAATAAGTTAACCAATCTGTTCTAAAATAAGTGTGCATTCTTATTACCCTTACAACAAAGGAAGCAGTATTTTTATAAACCAATAATAAAGTAATGCTCCTGGTGTACTTATGGGAAAGTACTGAGCTAATTCATGACACTAATTTAAGATTGTACTATACATCAATAAAGGTTAACTACATATTGTCTGGTTGAGAACATATTATGGGCTATTTAAGTCTGTCATTACTGCAACAGCAGACTGGCCAAAGTACTTTTAAAAATCTAGTTTTGGGCCTGGGATTTCGCTCAGTGGCTTCGCTGCCTGCTGCGCAAGCGTAAGGACCTGAGTTCAATCCCCGGTACCAAAAAAAAAAAAAACACCAAAAATCTAGTTTTAACTTAATTGACTTTGAAAAAGTCAGCAATATGTATGAATATAACATCACAGCAAAAAAAAAAATGTTTCCTTTAAAGACAAGAATTAAGGATTTTGTCAGTAACTGGAAAGTATTAGAACATTGTCCAAATGCAAGCATTTCATGTACTTAACTATTACAGAATAAGGATAAATATTGATTTCATTAAAAACTTAAAAAGCCACTGTTGACAAGAAAATAGCAGGTGAGTGGATCACAAATCTAATCTAATATGGAAATTTCTACAATCTTTGAATGTTGTTTAGGAATAACATTAATTCTCCATTCACAACTAACTGAATCCAAGTAGCTAAGTAAGGTTATTCTACAGTATCTGATATTATTATGCCTATTTCATTAACTAAGAAAAACACAAAAGTCATTTTTGGTATATCCAATTTTCCAAATGAAAGAATAAGAGAATTATACAGCAATAATTACAAAGGAATGTGCTAGGATTTTCAGAGTTTGACATATTAGCAAATACACATAGTATCTCCTGGTCCAAATTCTTCTTAGGAATTATAGAATGAATGAACTGTCAAATAATTACAAAATATCCAGCTAAGTACTAGGACTTTGTATTACTTCATTGCAAGAGTAATCTCTCTAAAATGTATTGTATCTTTCTTTAATGGCTCATGAACTAAATGCTAATAGACTATAACAAAAATACAACATGGTGTTATAGAAAATGGTCCAGAGAACTCTACTGTTTCATTCTATGTATGATTTGGCCCATTTCTTTCTGCTTTGTTTTCAGCCTTTGACCTAGATAGTTCTCACTGCTGTCAGGGTATCACTCTCTAGAAGTTCCCTCTCCACCTTCTAATAGTAATGGCATTTGTGTTAGGAAAAAAACAGGTTGGCAGGATGAGTGGGTAAACTGGATTAGAATAAATAAATCACACCAAGGCATTTTAGGGGCTCTGTTTCCTGGGTTCTTGTCTATAGTGTAACTAGGTAAGTTCGCTGAGTAAGTATTTAAATTTTTTTTGGATAAGTTGTATATTTCCATGTCACTAAGTTAGGACATTCTGTCTCAAAGATAAAAATCTCTTTCGTGGATTGCATTTCACAAGAATCAGAGCATCACTGTTGCTGTAAGCTGGCCCCTTGGCTTGAATTCTTATTATATCTTTGGCTCATTTTGCCTAACCTAGGCATTCAGGATCTTGCCCAATTTGCCTCTGGGTTGGATAAAATGAAGCTGGGTAAAGTAGGGTGTGACATCATTTTGGAAGAAGTATGTTATTGCTAATAGTCTAACACTACTTTGTTCTAGCCTGCTAAGTTGCATTACGGGGCCAGATAAATTTAGCAAGGAGATTTTCCCCTGACTTGTTTCCATGACAGTCTGGGACATTTTTAGCTCAGTTGAATTAAGTAAGGTCTATAGTAAAAGAGACATTCTAGAATGGAATTTTCCCACTCATGGATGATAGATTGTAACCACCCACTCAAGGAATATAAAAACAAAACCTTTAAAAACTGATAAATATTTTTGGACCATCTGGACAGACAGAAAAGCAGTTTGGTTAGTCCACGTCATTCCTTGAAGAATGGTCTGAATCCCTTGGGCTCAGTAGGGCCTGGTCCAAGTGCCAAAGTGAGAACTAAAACTTAGACCTTGCCTTGGAGGAGCCTCCAGTTAGATCAAAGATGGGGCATACATGGCAAAAGCAACCCTAGTTCCTTGTGAACTCACACCCTACTCCCTTCCCTTTTAAATTATAAACATTGACGTTCTCATGGTCAAGGACTCACGTTCACTTACTTAGCTTGTGCCAACACTCCAATGACTTCTGCATACAGGTCGGCCACAATGTGCATATTGCCAGTGTTAGGGCCAAGGTACCTAAGTAAAGTAAAATTGGACAAGTTAGGGATCCTTGCTCATCTGAAAAGACAAAATCGTTCATTTGGTTTTTAGTTACCAACTTCTTCAACATTCCAATGGTAGAAATCACCTTACCCTTCTTTGTATTTAAAGTGCTTGAACGCCAAGTTAATAACATCATGTATTAAACCATCTATTACAGGATGAAGTGGAATCTGAAAAAAAAGACAACTTTTAACTTGGAAGGGAATATTGAAAACCAAATGAGTTCTAATAACCCGGCATTTAGAATTTATAAACATTTTAATAAACTTAGAATTTCAAAAAGTAGTTTTTAGATTAATAAATGTTAATTCAAAGTAACAATAAATTATTCACATACCTGTTTCAAAACTTCTATTAATACTAAAGAAAAAATAAAATCAATGGCGAGGTCCCGTCTTTCCATTAAATAATCTCGCTGCTGTTCATCACTGTAAAATTTAAAATACATCAATTAGCACTGAAGGTATTTTCAAAGTGAGATAATTCATAAAAATCTAGAATTCATCCCCAAGGGACCGTAAACTTATTTTGTTATTAGAAGACTGAAGTGGGTAAATGTATGTTAATGCCTTTTCCGTTATCACTGGTACAATGGGCAAACATTGGATGTGAAGTTGAAATATTTGACTTCAAATTTAAAATTTCTAACTATGTAAATAAAGTTGAATAGCTACTTGTGAGTCCATAATCTCATTTTGTAGACTTTCCTACAGTAAGTAGCTTGCAACCCAGGAATTCTATCATTTGTAAAACGTGCAGCAAACAAAAGATACACCTACCACCATGGAGGTGCGCATTCAAAGGATCTTATGAAGAGAGATACACAATGTAACAATGAAACACAATGTAAGGATCTTGGAAGGAGCTAAATACTAAGAAGCTATTATGATTAGCAATCAGAGCTAGACAGCAAGGAAAGGAGGGAAGATCAGCATTGCTTTTATTTTTTCCTTTGTCCTTTCCTTCTGTCCTTTTCCCATTTGAAATTTAGTGCAAGGAGGAAAAAAGTGAAAAAGCAGTGGAAGAAAGACTAACAAAATAGAGGAAAGAAGAAAGCTATCTTTACAAATAGCAAAGTGGAATCTTTTACACTCATTCAAAAGTCAGACAGTAGTGTGCTGGTGCAATCCTTGTACTCTGAGAGGCTGAGGCAGGAGGACTGCAAGTTAGAGCCTGACCTGGGTAATTTAGTGATGTAGTGAGGTCCTACCTCAAAATATAAAAAGGATGGGGATGTAATTCACTGAGAAGGCCCTGGGTTCAGTTTCTAGTAACAAAAATAAAATAAAGTTAGGGAGCTGAAATAGAACTTTTGAAGGATAGAAACACATATTCCCCACCCTATTTTCTTTTTATCTAACACACTGAGAGCTTATTTAGGATTGACCAAAGTAAGACAAATGAAGTGAGTGCTGAGTCCCTTGGCACAGAATGGCGGATAAGAGCATTGATTTTTGGTTAGTGTAGAACAGTCCTGGCTTAAAATTATGCCTCCTACTTAGCAGTAATTTCTTCATTTACAATGTGGGAATATTAGTAGTACAGGCCAAATATGCCTTATCCAACATGCTTGGGAATGTAACCGTTTTAGATTTCAGATTTTAGAACATCTACATATACATAATGAGATACCTTGGGGATGGGACCCACGTCTAAACACAAAATTAATTTTCATCTCATATCTGCCTCTACATATAGCACAAGGGTAATTTTATACAATATTGTCAGAGCACTTGTATTGACTGTGATCTATCCCATGAGTTCAGGTATGGAATTTTCTACTTTATAATGCACTGGTACTCCAAAATTTTTGAATTTTGGATCATTTAGGATTTAGGATGTTCAACTTGTACTTACATAAAAGTCTGAGAAGATAAAGCATGGATCTTATTTACCTTAGTCTCTGAAACACAAATGCTCAATATTTATTGAGAAAGAATGACAGGATTTGGACTAGTCAGGAGAGATCTTTTTCAAAAAATCTTATAAATAAGACCTGTTTTTGTCTTTAATCAAGAGGGAGCGAGAACAATGAGATATTTAAGAAAACATATATACACACACATACATACATACATACATATATACAGACATGTGATTTCTAGAGGTACCCTGTAACTTTGAGCAAATCAAATTAAGGCTGATGTGTAAGGGGATGGGCTAACAAGGGAAGCTTAGCTCTACCTTTCCGGCAGAAATGTATTCATGGGGCAGGAATTCATTCATTTAGGATCATTTATGAACAGCTCTGCCAGGAGGAAGAGTGGTAGAAAAAACCATATATCTGAATTATTTCAACATTCAATGGAGCTAGGAGAAAGTGCTACTGCTAGCCGGGGAAACAGAGCTATTATATCACTGAATAAGGAAACAGGAATTTTGAAAGCAAGAGAAACGAGAACTCTCAAAAGACAGCCAACAGCAGAAATGACATTTGTGTCACATGGTGGGTAAGGGTTTTCAAAAATGGTCAGAAGACCCCAAGATAGGAGCAGTTCTTGACAGGAAAAAAAATTATTTTAACCTCTGGATTTCTTTTACTTAGTAAGCTATGTTTTGTTTTAAAATAAAACTGTGACATATACTTTTCCAATAATGAATTCAACTTTATTAGTGGTTTGATGAGCCAGAGACATTAGACAAATTTATTTGGCAGCAAAAATGTTGATATTGTGCTAATCTTAGAAATCCTAACTCCATGTCTAACCCTCCCTTTTGACTATTTTCAGTTACTTACGCCCCTCTCCATAGTTCCTCTTTTAGCTGTATCTTAGATAAATCATGCTCTATGGACCCTTATGGGGTGGGGAGGGGAGGTTTTCCAAGGCACACATTCTCTCATTTTAAAAGTTCAAATGTAACTAAAATGCCACTGAAGTGAATGTTACTGTCCTGATTCTGTATGTATTTGATCTCAGCAGTCACTCTGATCTCCTGAAAATAATCAGTACATGATTTCAAAGCCAATGATCCATCTACAAAGAAATCAAGTCATGTAAAATCTAGTTTCAGTAACTAAACTCTGACAAAACAGGAAATAAGATTAAAACTCACTCATTCAACTCACTAAAACTGCTGCACTCTGTCTCTAGAGAACTCTTTATCGGCTAACATGTGCGATGAGAAAAATAAAACAATCTCATTCATTTATTGATCACATAGTATAAACAATTTTCAGATACAGAATGGAAATCATACCTTAAAATTTCATAAGTTAAAAAGGTATTTACAAAGAGAGGAGGCTAATGGGGTTTCTTTCTGGAGTGATAAAAGTGTTCTAAAATTACATAGTGGTGACTGCTATACAACCCGGGAAATATATTGAAAACATTGAAGGGCCGGGGATTTAGCTCAGTGGTTCCGTCGTTTGCATTGCAAGTGCAAGGTCCTGAGTTCAATCCCTGGTACCAAAAAAAAAAACTCAAAAATTTTCCTTTCTCAACTAAAAAAGTTACTCAGTTTGGAAAAGTTACTAATCTCTCCCTCAAACAGAGTAATAAATGATCAAATCTTATATAAACTCAGAGATATTATAAAACTGAGTTACAAATATAGATGAAATATAATTTGGTAAAATTACAGATCTTCCATTTGAAGATAAATCTGTATTTTTGAAAAAAGTATTAGGTCTGCCAGGAAAAATGAGAGGGATAAATCACTCACTAAAAGCAGTTAATGTCAGGTTTTCTGAGTAATTTCAGTTTACTGTCTTTAAAGAATGCCTGCTTAATTCATGCAGATAAATCTGCTTTTAAAATAACTAACCTTAAGCCCATTAAACTCTTATATTGACTAACTTGTTGGAGGGGTTTGATTTCAAACATATGAAATTACATGTATTTACCTGAAATTTGGTTGGGGAGGGGACATGCATTAATTTGACCTTATGAAAATCCTAAGTTTTATGACTCCTAAACTGCTCCTGTAGTAGCAAGTTCCCCTTTTCAAATCCACAACAGAAGAGGGACCACAGAATAAACAAAATTCTCAGCTGCAAGAAGTCAGAGACTGTGACTCTAACCTCTCCGTTTTGCTGCCTCAAGTCACATGCTGATCAGTGTCAGCCTCAGACTCCCATCTTTGTGCAGGCCTGTGCCTTGCGTGATGTGGCACACTCAGCACTCACGGTTACTCCTAGCAAGACTAAAATATCTCAGCATGTCAGCATGCAAAGCCTGTGATGGCCTTCAATTTTTGTGTGTACACTGGAGGGGAGATGGCAGAGGAAAAAAGCAGGAAAGACAGTGACCTGTGGCCTTTACATCAGTCCACACAAATTCTGAAATAAGGGTATGGGTGAATTTCCAACCTGTGACAGCTTAAGCGATAAGGTTCTCTAAATGCGTTACCCCCTACAGACCCAGGGTCTCTGCAGCACCTCTGCGTAGCCTTGTGCACAGTCAGGAAGGCCTAGATGCAACGTAACTCACTTCTATTTGTTTCTTAACAAAACCATGAACCTTAATGTAAAAAATATACCTTTTCGATTTATTGCTTGTTCTTGGCCTATATTCATGTGATTCATCCTCAATGCCATTTTGCCTTTTGTACCAGTCAAATAACGTGCGAAGAATGGAAGGCAGGCAGTATTCAGAGAGGGAGCTCATGGAGCTGATGACCTACAGGAAAGATGCAGGCAATTAAAAAGAGGGAAAGGAAAAACTATGAGAAAAGAAAAAATATGGAAATGAAATCTATGTAAATAGGGAAGGGTGGAGGGGGTGAAGGGCGCACAGGTAATGGGGGAAAAATAAGAATCAAGATATATCATGTACAGGTACAAACACCCAATGATAAATGTAAACAAATTGTATGCCTAAAATGTACCAATAAAAGAACTAAAAACAAAAAAAAAAAACAAACAAAAATAAAAGCTTGGTGGCACCACCAATTACTGAGAAACTTTCTATTTCACAAATAACCTCAAGCAATATTCACTACTAAATTTTCTTATTTATCACAGCCCTTTCTTCCATAATCTTTATTAGTACACTCCCAAGAGCCCATGCCTCTTAGTGTTGACATATGTTCCTCATATAGTAATAATTTTGTGGTTTAAGAAAGTTAATTACTTTGACTCCCTTTCATTCTATACATTAGATGTTAATTGCATCCAGGTAATTCATGGAACTGCAAATAAATTATTTTTCCACATCATCTACCTTGTACTTCTTAGGTCTTCAAAAATGCTTGCTGAGTATATAAATATAGGAATACAGTTATATTAAGTGAAATAAACAAATCATTCAAATAATGTAATAACCTTTCTGCCAATAAGCATTCATTTATTAATTTGAGATATGCATCAAATTAGACTCAAACTATTAAGTAGGGGTAATTTGCCTTCTATTACATTAAAAGCAAATTTATCCCCTCTCCTTTAAACAACAAATGCACCTTGGTAGACTTGTTATTCCATTTTCCTTATCTGCAAAGATTCCTGATCTTCTACTAATTATCACACACAAAATCAGACTTCAATCCAGACCTCATGTCATATGTAAAAATTAACTCAAAATGAATCATAAGCCTAAGTACAAAATCTAGAAGCTATAAAACTTCTGAAGAAAACATTAAGTGAAAAGCTTTTGACTTTGGATTAGGGAAACATGTCATAGGTAAAAAAAGCAAAGTTCATAACACAAATCTGATATACTGAAATCTGATATACTGAAAATTAAAAGCTTCTGCTTTTAGAAGATATGAAGAAAATGATAAAAGATAAGCTAAAGACTGAAAGTATTTATAAAACACCTATCTACCTTGTATCCAGAACATGTAAAACAAAAGCAGTGAGATAAGTTTTAAATTCTTAACCAAAAAATAATATAAGCAAATTGTAATACATAGTGCTGATGAGCATGTTCATATACTGCAAACATAAAAAAATTGGCCTAAAATATCTGGAAGGTAATTTGGACATATTTAAAACACAATAATCATCATCCTCAAGAAGGGCATTCTTGGAATATATCTCAAGTACCCAATTAGATATAAACAAGAATGCTCATTACAGCAGTATTTCTAGCCCATAAAGAGAAGAAACCTAAATGTCCAACTGTATGTAAATGCCTTAATACAATGTGGAATTTAGTGCCAACTATTTATGAAACCATTTAAAGATCACATTTCAAAAATATTTGACATGAAAATGTTTGATATGTTAAGAAAAAAGAATTTAAAGTAACTTAATCGATATGATCTCTTTGGAATAAATACCATATAAATAAAAATTCAGATACAGAAAACAAGCCTAGGAGGTAATTTGCCAGTACATAGCATACACATTGAAACCAAGAGTTCTCAGGAAAGACAGACCACCAGAAGGAAGGGAGAAATGGGAGTTTAAAAGGATTGAAGGTAGCATTTTGCCCAAAGCTTTTAAAAGCAAGGGTAGAAATTTGAGATGAGAATCAGGAAAGAAAATATGCAAAGACCGGAGGCAGGAAAGCCTATGGTAATGAAGACGTGAAACAATTACCTGTTTTAATGTTTATAATAGTTAACATGTTGAAGGTGAGGGGAGTCGGTATTCCAGAGTGGAAGGACATAATGTTGGAAAAGTTTTTTATTTAGAAAATAGGAAGCTCCTATAGATTTTTGAATGGGACACTGATCCCATAAAAAGTTGTACAGGGAGGTTTATCTCCCTAGTGGTGTGTGTAGAACACATATATTTGAACTGAATGAGGTTACTGCAAGGTCTCGGACATGGGAGATCTCAGGCTGAGCTGGGGAGGTGACAGAAGAAATAGGAACCTATGGTTAACCTACTTCTGCAGCTAAGCAGGTGAGGCTTCACTTCCTTTGACAAAGCAGGAAACTAAGGTGAAGGTAGCTAAAGTGCTTGTGTCAATAGGATTTTCTATCACCACCTTTAAAAGAAGCCCTTTAAATTGAACGAAACAATTAAGGTTTTCTTCCTCACATTTTACTCCTTGATAGTTTTAAGTTCCTTCTCCTAAAACAATGATTAAATATACTAAATTATAATTATCTTTGGTTACATGTTAATAGAAGTTCAAAACAAACAGGCTATTCCATTCAGTTTGCCTTGTGAACCTAGTCGCCATAACTGTGTTTTTTTAAAAGTGAAAACAATGTCATCTTTTAAAAAGAAGAGCCTCCCCATCCTGGTTATATCTGCCACCACAATGTATTTTCCTGTTGTGGTGGTGGATAAAACAGCAGTAACTTTTGGAAAGAAAGAGAATCATGGTATATGTCAAGTAGTAATTTACTAATGCTTTCTAATGCTGCTCCTGCATAAGAAGGTATATTTTCCCAAGTCACTATTGTCTAAAATGCTTTGATTTCGGACTAGGGATGTAGCTCAGTGGGACAATACTTGTCTAGCTAGCAAACAAGAGGCCCTGGGTTCAATCCCGAGCACTGCAAAATAACTAAATAAAAATAAAATGTTTTGAATTGGGAGAGGAAGGAGGTTCCTTCCACAGGGGAAAAAAGGGATAAGAATTCAGAGCCCCCAACTATGAGTTAAGAGTCTTACTTAATATATAGGTAATAAAAATCCCAAAGCACCTATTATTATTTCAACATTTTAAAAATACTTGTGTAAGTGTTGAGAAACCTAAGGAAGTATAATGATGAAATGTAATGTGGTATTCTAGATAGAATCCTGGAACAACAACAAAAAGATATTAGTGGAAAACAAATGAAATACAAATGTAGAGCTTAGTTAACAATGTGCCGAGGCTGGCTTATTTGTGATAAATGTACCATGGTGATGTCAGATGCTAACAATAGGAGAAACTGGCAATTCTTGAAATTATCTTTGCAAATTTTCTATAATTCCCAAACTATTCTAAACGAAGTTATTAAAAATACTTGTATGGCATATTTACAAGCTCCATTACTCACTACAGACCCATAAAGGCGATAGAAATTTATGTTTGATTCCTAAACATCTCTGGAGAAAGTACACCGTGTTCAGCTACTTCAGTTAGGTGTAACCCACATTCCCTGTAAAGAATGTCAACAGTGTTCTTCAAACCTCAGTTATAGATTATTTTAAAATATTTTTTTTCTACCCATTAAAAAGTCACTGAGAAGCTCTTCTTGGTATTGGATCTCCAGAGCACACTTTCCATGGCAAATACACTGAGAACACCTCAGAAGGGAGGAAAGGTCAGTATGGGTGGATGTGTTTTCCATCTCCTCTGTGCCTACCCTGCGGAGGCCAGGCTTTCAGGAAGGAAGGGTGGAATCTGCAAGACCTGGCCCTCAACACTCAGGAAGGGAGGAAGGCCTAGTTGGCTTCTTGGTTATTCAACTCCTTCATTTACGGGAACCAGAGCCAGTGGGGAGATGAATTCTAGCTCTGTGCTGCTGCTGAAAGAAGGCAGGCTGACAACAAAGATGTCCCTGTTGCATATAAATGATCATATTTTTCCAGCATCCATGAGCTAGGTTCTGGGCCACAGGAGGAGATGAAGTCCATGGAATCACACAACTATTTCACACTGGTGTTTTCTCTTTCAGGGAGGCAGGGGGGAATACTAACTAAATGCACTTTGTAAATGTTCTAATGTTTACTCTGACTTTTTACGTATAAATAGGCTAGAAGAGACTGTCTGTTATGCTATAGGGAAGACACTGAATTTTCATAAGCATTATATTATACTTGCTAAATGCAAGGAAGACAATTTCATAATAAATATTTGAATAGTTACTCAATGGAGTCATTCCATATTTTACAATAATAAGGCTAACTTAGTATGAGTGGTGCACTTAAGAAATCATTTTAAAGTAACTCCATGGATGGATTAATTTCTCAAATAAGTCCAGGTGCCAAGCAACCATGGGGTTCAGGATACACCCTGAGTAATACCACAAAATACTGATCTATTCAAGTAATTGCAAATATAATTCATTACTACTCAATCATATATTATACTCTCATTATATTATTTGTAAGTGACTAACAGACACCAAATATAATAATTTAACAAAAATTAAACATATAGAAACCTATACATTAAATAAAATTTTCGTGAAAATTAGAAGAGTTCAGCATCTTGTTTCATTTCATAGAATGAATCATTTCATTGGAGAATTTTTAAGAAATGCTGAATGATACTATTACATAAAATCCAAAGCCAGTTTGTTTTTACTCTTTTTTTTTTTTTTTAAAAGAGCTTACTTTTATTTATTTATTTATTTATTTATTTGGTACCGGGGATCGAACTCGGGACCTTGAACTTGAGAGGCAGGCGCCGGAACCACTAAGCTAAATCCCCAGCCCTGTTTTTACTCTTAATTGCTTATATTTTTCATTTATACATTCTGAACAGATTTTATTGAATTTGTTAGAATCAATGTTGAAACATTTGTTCTGTTTCCTTTTCAGGAAAATTATTACTGCCGAAGATGGTAAAAAGCTATGTTAGCCCCATGATAAATGTATGGGTATATTTTACCATGTGTTTCCCTGTTGATGGATGGCATTTTTAACATAGTAGGAAACTAAAGTGCAAACATACAAAATCAACATCAAAAATCAATAGCTTTGCTATATACTGTAGCAACAATGAACTACTTGAGAAAGAAACTGGGAAACAATTAAATTCACAGTAGTATCAAATAAATAAATAAATAA